CTGAACACTAGAAATACTCAAAACCCTACTCTTCTTGTAAAATCTAGGTAAAATTCACAATTTTCTTAAGGTTGTCAACAATTGGCATTTATTCCTTCCGAATAGAGTGAAATTTAAGTATTCCAATCAGATTTATCGTATTTCATTTTCACGTCGGATATCAATGCGTAGAGAGAGAACCTACGAAAAACTATTGACTGAAATTCTGTGTTCTTTACAAGAATACATCAATGCAATACTTTGGGAGGGAGTCTTACTTCTAATGAAAACAATCGAGATCTTGTAACCACGGTATTTAACGGATAGTTGCAACCTTTACTTTTCGGGGCTTCACTCAAAAATTGAAAACAGAATGCAATTACATTATCTTAATCAGTAAGAACCGTTATTTTCGACAGAATCTGTTGAAAAATTGATTGCGGACTTCGGACGCAAGGTAAATAAACAAACAAACAATATTATCTGAAATGAAATGGTTGTTTTCCAAATTTACTCACGGGGAGGGTTCATTTAAATTTAAGTGATTCTCTACGTTAACATTCTGCGAACAATTTCAACAGTATGTTCTATGCTTTTTCACTGTGTAGCCATTTAGTTTGGGTTTATTTATATATATCACGCCGGGCTGGCGCGTGCCGTGAAGTGGAACTTTGTCGCCCGCTGTAGTTTGAGATTGTACAGCGGAAATGCGAATAAAAGTACAAAGCAGTTTTCAAAATGGCGGCTGAAAATAGCATTTTGAATGCTTCGTCCTTTACGTGATGAAGTCGATAATTTCTTTTTGTTTGAAGAAGAAGTAAAAACAGCTCTCGCTTCAATTTTTGAAAAAAACCGTGTGGGCCAAAGCTCTTTGAAACGAGCTAAAATGTCACAAATTCCAGCGACAGCACTCCTGGAAGGAGAAGTGAAGATGTGGCTTAAGATGCTCCATAGGCGCCTCAGTCCAAGAATGAAGGCCCGAAGCGCTTGGACTGTAGAGTTTAAAAGGGCGATGTCCTCGGAAATATTTTCCTTAATTTTACAGATGGTTAAAAAGGCCCGTTCCGCTTATGGTGTTGTGCACAACGAAGAAAAACACACAGATATAATCTACTATAACAGAGAGAACAGACTGATTCGAGATTTTGCCCAGTTATCTGACCTTTCATGAATTGAGCCAAGTTAAAGCGCGTGTTCTTTGTCTGCGGCATCCTAGAAATTAACTCATAAAAAACTAAGGAAAGAAGGCAAAATTAGGAAAACAAAAATCATAGAGCTTTTGTCAAGGCTTTGAAGTTTCGGTTCGTAGCACAAATTCTCGGATAAGTAGAGAAACTTAAAAAACTATCCTAGCCAAAAATACGATAGAAACGACAAATAAACCTTACCTTTTCTTTTACTATTTCCTCTACTGTCTCTTGCTAAGCGAACATCGAAGAAACCATGGCATATTTAGTATCAAAATGACAGGAAAACTGTGTACTTTCAGCACATTCGAGTTTTGGCGCCTTCGGACTAACTCCAGGACCGCTCGGAGGCAGTTTTCAACAGGCGTTAACTTAGTTCCAGGCTTCTCTAAAAACCACACGGTCACAAACGCCATATTTGTGGACGCTGATTGTTCCGCTTCAGAGCGCTCACCAGCCCGGCGTGTATTTCTTTCGTGCAAAAGGCCCTCGTAGTGCAATAATCAACAATGTTAAACTTACTGTGAGGAAATACTTTAACGTAGAGTTGGTTCGCTACATTGAATGTGAAAGGTTGTCTTTTTTTCTAGCGAAAATAGATTTTACCATCACAGTTCTAAGTTAGAAACAATTTTATTGTTTGATAAAAATGTCTCATTCAATTCCAGAGAATTGATATCGACGGCTGAGCCTCGTTTTGGTGCGAAATGCTTACTACGTTTGTAGTTCTGTTTTTTCTGCAGTCGGGTGAGACATTTATGTTAATTTTACCTTTTCTGACCTTTAAGTAACTTTCTCTTTGGCTGTTCTTATGCATCAACAACTTCCTTCTTATTGTTCTAGCAGCTCCAGAACTTAAAATACTACCATGTATTTTCTTTAAAATTGAGTTTCGACTCGGACATTAATGATTTCTTTTTCAACTGACACCCCGCTGATGCCATTTTACTTCTGAAAATCGTTGATAATTTGTGATCACCACTGCAAATAAATGTACGTGCGATTGGTTGAATGGAACCTCATTTCATGCGCTGAGCTCCATGTTCTCTCAAATCTTGCTCACACGAATGTCAGTGGGTGTCCTTATTTGTCGTAAATCTCAAACCAGTTAAACTAGAAATCTAACCATTGAGAAAATCGAAAGATTCTTACTTCAAGAATTTTTATTATTACCATCATCTTAATTCACGTTCTGTTAAACCGTACTTTTAGTCTCTTCTAGGAATTTGAACTTCGTTGACAGTCCGAATCTTGCCGATGAAGCTCCCTTAAACGGCTGTCAAAATGAGGAGGAATGCGAGTACGACTCGCGGCAGCGCGTGGGCCGCTCGAATGCGCTTACACAGAAGCGCCAAGTCGAATGTGGCAGACTCCCGAAGAAAGAGCGGCTAAACTGTCAACTATTTATGGGCAAGAGAGGGCCTGATTTCTCTAGAAAGACGTACGAGCGCTTTGCGAATCCTTTACAGCTTCAAGACCCCGATCCAAGATGCACAAAATTTACCTGCCGTTTCAACCCAAGTGGCAAAAAGAAATTTATGGTTAAGAAAGGTGTCCGTGTTACTGCACCGAAGGAGGATAGCATGGGTGATGTAACCTCAGACACCAACTCAAAAGCTTGTACCAATCCGGCAGATTTGTTTTGCTACGGTAATGGAGCTGGACGAAAGCGATCGGTAAGTTGTCCTTACATTACCATACAACTCTTTCCCGCCCAGGCTTAACTTAATCCCTTCCACGTCTAGCGGGGAATTAGACCATGGAAACTGCTCACCATCTCGGCTTATTGTGCGACATCTTCTCAAGTTGCATTGGTTTTTCAAGGGTGTGCCCGATGCTGTCCAACTTGCAACTTCTGATATAATGATCGTTTTTTTTCCTCCTGTTTCGCTATTGCTTACAATTATCAGTTCCTTAGGACCCCTAGTGGAAACTCGGGCTTACCAAGGCATAATCATCTAACTTCGGGTTCCCGTTTATAGAATGAATGCTTTGTAAGCTTGCAGGATTTCGTAACTTTTGAGGTAGCAGGTATTTGTAAACCACACGTCGTGGTTTTGCATGTAGGGCCAGGTTGTTAAGCTTTTTAAAATGGCGGTCCCCATGGTCGAATTTTTGCGAATTGAAAATTATCAGAACGCGGTAAATAATGATTTTTTTAAAAAAAATATATAATTTAGGAGACAAAAACACCTGTTTCTAAAACATGCTTCTCCAAGTTGAGGCAGAGCATATGCAATACGTGGTGTGATCAAGCACTAAATAAACTGCATGCCAAGGGGAATTCTGATATTATTTTTTGGAAAGGGCTATTTAGTGACTTAAATTTAGTCTCTAATTTAGGGCTATTTAGTGAATTGTATTATTTTTGAAAGAACGACATGGAAAAATATTGAAGACACACAGAAGAATGTATTTCAGAGGTCACTCTGTCATAGAAGCGGAACAGATAACTCTAACTATATTACTTGGAGACACAAAATGGCGGATTCCGCTTCCTTACCGTAACTTATAAAACAAAATTTGGCTGATTTGTGGCGAGGATTTTTAAAGAACCATAGGGAAAACTTAGGCTCCATCAATAAACGTACAATTGTTCGGATCAATGCTAATATCTGAGCAACTACGCACCTACCCCTCCCCTGACCCAACAACAGTCAACTGGTAGCAAGTTAGGGTTAATGTTGGGTCAGGGGAGGGGTAGGTACGCAATTGATCAGATACTGAATTTGATTCAATTGTTCCATCATTAGATTCCTGAAATAGAACAAAACTGCTCAGATCCAGAAAATAGTAAGTCTTCAATATGCCGCTGGGGAAGTCAAGGGAAAAAAAGTTTTTCCGGTTAGAAGCTGAGCACGATAGACGATCTGAGGTGGGCATGAAAACGTCGTCTTTGTTTATAAAACAATCACCCTAACACCCTGGCCTCCAAAAAAAAATTAAAATTTTAAATGAAGTATTTATCGTTTGGCTCATGATGTGGTCACTTTTATATTGGATTGGACGGACAGCGGACCGCTGAGGGAGCAGATTATCTTAATACACCTGTAAAAAATGTAATAACCAGCCAGTCATAGCGAAGCATGATACTCTATATGCTGTCATGTTACTAGTGGATCTCGTCGCCTTCAGGGACTAACAGTATGCAGTCGAAGGGTCACTATCCACATCGGAAGTTATTACACTGTGTAACAAACGATGAACCTTTCAAATGCGGTGGTGTTAGGGTTAAGGTTAGGGTTACTAACTTGCAACTTGCAACTCTACACGATGAAGATGAAATAAGCCTCTTTTTTCTCTTTTTAGGTGATTTGAATTACGACGTTAAATATATATGTGGCTGCCGTGAGCGTAAAAACAGAGCAAGTGTATTAGTCAAGAGAAATCGCTATAAGTCTCCATACTTCTTTTTTTTGCTGATCCTAAACAATGTAAATTTCTGTGTTGTAAATTAAAGCTGTGGAATAAAAGCGTTTTTATGTGCACTTCGGTATTGATGAAAAAATTTAACCATAGAAATAATATCACCCAGCAAGAACAACCTTTTCAAATGAATAAGACGTCAGAGGCTGCTTATGTTTAATTACTGGGAAAATATAAGCTTTCCATTAAACCATTTTTCTCTGTACAACGTGTAACAGGTATACGTAGAGAGGAATGGAAATACATCGAAACTGAAGATAAAACTAAACAAAACAAAACAAAACCATAATTGAGGTATCTAAACGAAGTGAAGCTGCACTTCCGCCTGGTTGTCATGGCAACTGGACCGACTGCACCTCATAATTTTGCATTGGTAGGCTACACCATAAGTGATTGTCAATGACGTCATATTACACAACCCCTTTACTTTTATTATTCATCCCTTACAGAAATCTACCTCAGAACTACAAAACAAATTGAATGCGAAGACCAAAGTTAAGTCATGGTATTGTTTCCAGTCCACTTATTTCAATGTATACGTCGATTTTATCATTTTTTTTTTTTACCTGTTTTGTCGCGAGAACTGGTTACCAAATTCAATGACCCTCCTTTTAGGAATGTTTTTCAGGATCTTTTACTTTCGCCTTTTGTTCTCGGTTTAGTTAACTTAAGAAAATTTGAGATGGCTCTGTAAAGGCTTCCCGACGCAAAGTGTCCAAGAAGTTTTTTTGAGACTAATTTGAACTTTTTCGATAAAAAAAGTAATTAACTTAGGGTCCTATTGACCGGACAAAATAATGTTCAAGTTTTTTCCTTGTGCAGGTTTAGAACCACTAATGTATAGTAATAATATAATACATAGTGTACCCTGGCAACGGGTTGCACATGATCAATGCTTGATGCATCATGGACAACAATAACGTACTGCTGTTATTTAGCCGCTGTGCAACAGTGCTCTGCAATAATTAGAGAAAAACAGGCGATAGGGTGATTACAGTACAGTGCGTCGGTCCAATAATGGAGACGGTAGCTGAGGAGAAGCCAACCTACTGGCAGCATAGTTGTTCATGGCTCGGGGAAACCCATAAACATCTCTTACACTGGATGAATTCTTTTCGAAATCGTGATCCAATTTCAAAGACTTCTCACACTCTTTCTCTTTTTCCACTTCCTCGTAGAATTGTGCGATTTCACAGCTGCTCCCTTCTTCACAACTTCCATCATTAGTCTGTACGGCCATATCAACTTTTTCCACTGTAAGAAAAATCATTTTACAGTTACCGCCAGAAATGGCTGAATGCGATACCATAGTTAGTCTACATCTGCCAAATCACTCCAAAGCGTGAAGCTAACGACGCAGTCCTCAACACACGCTTGTTATTCCTACTCGTCTCCTCCCAATTCATTTTCGATGAAGTCCAGCGCGTGGTCCGAAAATAAAAACCTTTTAGGTAAAAGTACTAACACTAGCTCGTTATGAAAAAAAAAACGCTACACCATGGTTGTTATATATTTCCTTTGTTCCAATGAGAACCAAGTGGTGAGAGTCCATGGGGTTGGACGAGTTCATGCTCCAGGTGGATATGATACTGGAGCGAAATGTTTTACTCTCACTCAGCCCAGGACTTTTAATGGGTACTAACCAGTTGATTCTCATGGAAACATGACAAACTAGTTCTCAAGTATAGCAATGCTCTTACAAACCTCCTGACTCAAAACCCATCCCATGTTGTGGTTGTCAACAAAGTCAGTACTCGAGCCAAGTGGTTCATGTAGGCGGAGTTTATGCCGGTTTCCATGGTGTTTCCATGGTGTTATTACCACCCTCTACATATTACCATCCATAGATGGGGGGTAGGTGCAAAGATGTATGGCCACACCCAAAGAAATTTTAAAAGGTTACCCTGAATATTTCCCGATAGCAATTTATACTCCTGAGTATAGAGGTACAGTGAGAACAAAGTGTTTTGTCCAAAATCAAAACACAATGACCTAGCCAGGTATCGAATCCGAAACTCTCACCCTGAGTCCAGCGCACCAACCATCAGGCCATGGCGCTTCCCACTGTTTTTCTTTGTACCCCACCATCTGATTCCTAAGAGGCTTTAGCACAGCTTGTGAAACTGAACACTTACCTTTCCTCTTACAAACGAAGACTGAATCAAAAAACAGCATAATGGAAATTAGAGCAACCAGCGCAGCTAGCCCCGGAGCGAAACTTTGGACGTTTCTCACAAATTCATCACAGGATGGACAAACCGCACTAAGGGAGGGAGAGAACGTATCAAACCTATGAGAAGGCTCCATTGATGGTAACATACGACAATTTTTTGTCAAAGGGGCCTACTCTCGGCATTCTAGACTCAAATCTAGAGCTTATTTTGTGCCATCCAAGTTTCTGCGAGCTAAGTAGTAACCTAACTAACATTTCCTGCAAACTTCAGTGTGACCCTGTTGTTAAATGGCTCATAAATAAATTTATTGTCGATGAGAGATTGGTTGACAGACTAACTGATAGAACAACTGATTGACTGACTGGCCGGCGTACTAGCTATATAGCTCGCTGAATGACAGACTGAAGCACTAGCCAGTTAGCAGGCTGGACGGCCAATTGGCCAAATGACTGAGTGAGTGAGTGACTGACTGACTGACTGGTTGACTGATTAAGTAGCTGGCTATGACTGACTCACCGAACAACCGATCAACTCAATGACTTACTCACTGTGACTTATTGAGCGACTGACTGGCTTTCTGAACTACTAACTGACTGGCCTGACTTACAGACTAGCCAGCCGGTGTACAGTTTACTGATTGAACCTGAACGGACCTTGGGTAGAGTCACTTAAACTCGTCGGATGATAATTTGCACCCAACTCTCATAGAGAGGAAATTGTGACTACTTACGTCATGTCAGTACGCGGATTCATTTCTTGAATTATAGCAATGGTGACACCGCTGGACAGTTTGTCTGTGAAGCTGATTGTCCCGTAAACGAAGGCGCCGGATTTCTTAGGAATGAATAAAATTATAAATTTGCAAATAACAGCCAGCTTGAAAAACACTGAGTTAAATAACTTAAAAGAGGTGCGAGTAATAGCTTTTAAAAATTTATAATCTTGGGAAAAAGAGGAAAACATTAAACTTAAATTTATATTAAAATACCTCATAATTCCAGCATGCCTCACATTGTTACTTCTAAGCTTCTGAGAAGAAAGCGTAACATTTTCCGACAAATTTTGCAGCGAGATTAAAAATAGTTAAGTGCTTTTGTTTACATGAGCAGCAATGTTTTGAAGAAATGCACGTCACCAGCAGGTTTCCTGCTGTAATTGGTGGACATAATTTTGTTCAAAAGTCATAATTTTTTCATTAAAAACTTTCTATCAACGGCTTCAAAAAAAAATTTGTTTTGAAGGTTGCGTTATAATTCAAGCTTTAATGTTATCTTGCTCTTGGCTGTCTGTTTTACAAATATAACTTATTCCATAAAATCCATTCCGTTGAGCAAAACGATCGAAGCTTTTGGGACAAAATTGATGAGAAATGGCGTTTTGCGCATTTCCGTTTACCTTGTCATGACCAATCAGCTCTGCTATGAGAGATAATGACGTCACTAGCATAACAGATCCTCCGCATCCCATAATAACCGCAGTGACGTAAATAATATTCTTTCCTTTAATGTCCTGAACGTAGAACCAAAAGCAAGCACTCAAGGCCAGCATACAACCCAAGGAAAATGTTATCTGAGAGGGAAATATTATGATTAACATCACGTTTTCAGGAGCCACTTTAAGAAGAGGGAGAGGACGAGGTGGACTAATGACCAGTGCACTGGACTCTTGGTTGAGAGGTCTGGATTCGAGACCTGGCTGGGTCAATTGTATTTTTTCTTGTGCAAAATACTTAACTTTCACTGTGCCTCTCTCCAACCAAGAATATAAATGGGTAT